AGATAAATCAACAGGAAAGTCGTTGTCCTGACGTGACAAGCCCTAGCATGTGGGAGACGGCCGCCGGCGGCTATTCAATTGCGGAGGACGGAGCGGTGGAGCATACACGAGCAAAATCTTGCACATACGGAGAAATATCATTTTAAACTCCAAAATTATAACTAGCATGGGTTTGGGGGAGGGAGTACCTATATTACGGTAACAATAAGGGGCCCCATAAAATTTAGAATAACGCTTGAGTCCCTGATTAATTGGTGTTCCTTTGAAAGTCTTTCTCATGGGAAGAAGACTGAGGACATTCGCATTCTTCTCCAACTGCTGTTCTTATTCTTGGCTCAACCATATATGGAAGTAGAGAAGAATCCCAAATTTATTCAAGGCCTCAGCCATGTACCAGCCTAATGCTGCTGGAGCTGGATTAGAGTCTCCTGAGTCCAACTAGTCTAAAACGGAAGATAGTGTTATTCCAACTTTATCCTCTCCTATCTCATTGGTCTTAGTTTTTTTTTTTTTTTATCTTAATTGCATAATGGGAGATAATCATCTTCTATCTCACTCACATGCCATACGACTAGATCTGGCAATTATTTACCCAACCTGTTAACCCGCCCATTACCCGCCCGTTTAAAATGGGTTAGGGTCATATATTTATGACTCGTAACCCGTTAATGACCCGTTAAGAGAACTCAATGGGTCACGGGTCAATAACAGGTTGACCCATCGAGTTAACGGGTTTGACTCGTTTACCTGTTTAAAAATATAAAAATTTTTAATTTATTATTTTTTTTTCCAATTCCCAATCTCACCTAAACCTCTAATAATTGACTAATGTTCCCTAATTAACTAATTGATTCTCTTGACTCATCATCTTCTAAAAGTAAAAATAATCCCACTTCACTCATAACTCACCTCCTAACCTTTTCTATTTTTGCTTGCCCTAATACTCTCGAAGACTCTAACTCTTTAAACTTCAAATTCTTCTCATATTTTTTAACCTTCATAGTTCATACAGCTTTTGACTTTCAAGGTTCGACTCCATCTTTTCTCTTTAGTTTTTAACATTATTTCAAACTTAGATTTTAGTCTTATCGAGTCATCATTGCGTCCACTCGGCCTTTTCTTTTTTTCTCCTTTTAAGTTCGGCAAGTGCTCTTTTTGTCACCAACTTTTCTCTCTAAATACTTCAAGGTAAGCTGTTTACTTATTTATGCTTTTTAGTTTTCTTTCCATTCCAAGTAAAAATTTTACTTGATTTTCTCCTTTACTTACTTAGATGCATTCAATTGATTATTCTTTGAAAGCAATGACCAAAACAAATATGTTCCAATGGGGTTTGTATTTTTTGGTTGTCATACTACTACTGCTTTTTCTTTTTTTTTTGCTATTGAGATTTATAAGTGTTGTGTTCTTAAATTTGATTAGCGTTGTTTTTTGAAGGGAAATAAAGAAAGTGATTCTAAGTAACTATAAATATGTATATATTAAATTAATAAAAAAATTATTTTTATAAGATGTTGAATTTCTTTTTTAAATCTTTTGAATAATTTTCTTTGAATGATAATAGGGACAAATTATAGAGAAAAAAAAAGAAAAAAAATTTAATTGAGTCAACCCGCGGGTTGACTCGTGACCCGTGATGGGCGGGTTAGGGTCTGCTTTTATTGACCCGTGACCCGTTTTAACCCAACCCGTTTTGACCCATTACCCGTTCTAACCCGACCCAACCCGCCCGTTTGCCAAGTCTACATACAACTCGAACTCAAAATCTCTTATTTTCAACGAAAAGAGATGATTGTTGAACTATTTAAACCGTTAACTGATCTTAATTAATTAAAACTTGAAACATTTAGAGGATTGACCTTTTATAAGAGTGCTAAATCAAGAAATTATATACTATTTCTCAATTCATTTTACTAGTGACACCTTTTAATTCAATTTCTAAATGTTATTGAGAGATTAGGTTTGTTGTGTTCGAGAATAACAATAGCTTGATCGGGTATGGCGTTTGGAAATGGTTTGTGCACAATACTCTTCATGGTGAAGCAGCGGCCCTGTGGCCACCACACTTGAAAATCTTGGTGTTCTGCATAAGAGCAATAAGAAAAGGCAGAGTCTACTCTACGGTCTCTCCCCCCCACCCCTTCTTTTTTTTTTTTTTTTTTTTTTTTTTTTTTTTCTAAAAATGAGTTTAAGTTTATGATAATTTTGTAAATATTTTGATTTTTTAAAAATATTTTGATAGGTTAAATTTTTAATTATTATAATTTTTATAAAACTTTTTTTTATTTTACAAATAGATTAACTTTATATCTTTTTTATTTGTATATAATTTTTTTGTCTTCTTTTTTATTTGATACTATTTTTTGTAATAAGTATTATTTTTACTTTATATATTGTGTGAACAAAAAAAAAAATTAGTTTGATCTTAAAACAAATTACATTTTAACTCTCACTGCCGCTGGAGTTTCCTCTCAATGGGCGAGCCCCTTGCCTAGGCGCTACTCCCTGTTTTGAAGGGCTTCTCCCTTTGTTTTTCTTTCTTTTCCTCCCATGTTGACCTAGAATTATCACAATCTTGGAGAGGCTTACACGATCTTTGAGTCAAACCAATTGTGCCTCCAGCAAAAGCCTAATTTTGTCCTGCTCCCTACAACAAAGCAAATGGCAATGGAGATGAATTTGTTCCGAATAGATTTAAGGTTGGCTCATTGTTCTACAAGCGATTGTGTAGAGAAAAGGGGTGGATTGACTCTATTTTGGAATGATACATTTAACCTTCAAGTTTTGTCTTTCTTGCCATCTCACATAGACGTTGTAATACTAGATTCGGGTGGTTGTCAATGGCAATTAACAGGATTTTCCGGCCAATCAAAGATTGCTTGCAAGGATGAGTCATGGACCTTTCTCAAATCACCCAAGATAGTTTCTCCTCTGCCTGGGTTGTGTTTAGGCTATTTCAATGATATCTTGAGCAAATCAGAAAAGGAGAAGGGTAATTTCATATTCCAGTCGGGCTATGCGTGGGGGGTCATAGGTGGCTTTTGGTGTGGAGAGCCAAATTTACATGCTATGGGGGAAGCTGATGGTGTTCTGCAAGGGGAGTATGGTATTCAAGTTGGGAAAGAGGCTCTAGTTCCCTTAATGACTTATGGTAGCAAGGGCCTGAAGAGGATTGGAAAAGATAAGACCATGTTTGGGAGCACTTGCAGACGAATGGGGTACCTTGTGATTGCATAGAGGAGGACCATACCCCTCCTCTTGTCGATTATTTTTTAAGAAAATAGATTGGATGGCAACCTACAGTTTGGGGACTATTTGTTGTCGAAATCCTTTACTCTCCCCATGAAGCTGGTTAACTAGGTGAGGACATCCAGTAGCTTCTAAGGCTTATAGTGACTCTCCTTTCTACATTAGTAGCCCTATTTAGCTTATACAGCAATTGTAATTGCAATCTCTAGTTATAGATGACTCTATTTATTTAATTGTCTATATTCGTCATGGACATAGTTTAAATTTGTTACTAGAGCTGGAACATCCAAACTAAAGTGAGTTACCTGCTAGAGTAAAGAGCATACCTCTTTGCTTTCTTCATGTAAAAGCTCCCCATGTGGCATTTCCTCCATCTATTGAGTTTGTTGTCTTTTGTTACTCCTCTTCTTCCCTTGCGTCCAGAGCACAAAACAGGAGATGAAAATAGTGATAACTGAAACAGCAGAAACCACAAAGCCAACAAGGAAACAATTTTGATATTATGACTTGGTTTTGAGATACTCTTGCAGGGCTGTAAAGGTTTTCTACAAAGTTCTGGATTATTAGTAAGGCATTAGCAAAGCTATTACTTGAAATTTCATTTATAAAATCAAGTATCAGACCATATAATAGATTCTCAGAAACAGTAAAGGTCTTGGGCCGAGGAATTAGGCCAATTTTGTTGGCATATGACTTTTTAATTAATTGTGGTCAAGATTAAGAACATTCAAAAAACTAATATTGGCTAAACTCTTTGGGATTTCACCTGAAATTCGTTGGAGGAGAGTTCAAGTTAAATGTGTGTACCAAAACTCAAGAGTTGAATTTATTATTGGCAAAACCTTATGTTAAGCCCCTAAACTTATTTTAAATTCTTGATTAGACCCTTAAACTTTTATTGAAGTAAATAAGTCTTTTGACTTATCCATTTAATTAATTTACTATTTTCTTTATGATAGATTTAATGCATATTTATGTCTTATTTACATGAATAAGATCAATACTCACTATATAGGCAATTATATATTAATATAGGTTAAACCCCCTTTTTGGTCCCTCAACTATTGTACGGACCCCTGATTGAGTCCCTCAACTCAAAAAATCCTTGACTTGGTCCCTACTATTTACCATTTAAACCCCGACTTGGTCCCTTTGTTAAAAATCGCATGACGTGTACTGTTAACTAACTGAAGTATAATGATCTGTCAAAATATTAAACCTACGTGGAAATACAGAATGGCAAAAAAATAATGATTTGGCAATAAAAAT